CGGTTAAATAATCAGTCGCAAAAAATTAGACGCAAATAATCATTTTTCTAGTAGTGAGGTAATCCCTATCATGCTACGCAGATGGAATTAAGGGGTTTTTGAGAGGGTAATTTATACTTATAAATTGGGCCGAGTTGGGTAATGGGCCGTTATGGGCCACATTGCGAAGGGCTGAGTAAAAAGGCCATGAAGTTACTCCGGCCCAAGAGGGGTGTAAAGTTATTCCGGCCCAAGAGAGGTGTAAAGTTACTCCGGCCCGCGAGAGACCTGAAGTTACTCCGGTCCCAAAAGAGCTTATGGTAAGTTTGGTCGTTGCTCACAAAAGATATCCCGGTTTGGACCGGAGTATTGGTTATTCCGGTCTAGACATACCGTGGTTAGCATTAAAAAGAGCCAAGGTAAGAGCTGTGAATGGAAGAGCCGAACTAATGTTATCGTGGTCTAGTCTGCGGCATAGCATAGCTATGCTTACCTCGGTCATGTTGAAGTCTGACCATGATAGAACCATCTCACTTGGTTTATGTAGTGAGGGGGGTGTTGAAGGATAGACATTATCTTTCAGGAGTATGAATCCTAGGAGGACTCTACATGGAGGAGTAAAAGTCCTACTAAGATTGTGCCACGCGGAACCTATAAAAGCTTACAACATCACCTATGGAGAGGTAACACACAACTTTGATTCTCAAATACATAGAGCTTTTTGTCTTTGTCTATTTTGCTGACTTAGGCATCGAAGAGGTATCCGGCACACACCCGCCGGCTAGCTCACGTTTGTGTTTTCAAGGAGTAAAGCGACGATGTTTGGAGGAGCGCAGACTTGATCAACAGGATTATACGAGAAGATTTATTTCTTTCCCGTACAAGGCACTAACAAAAAAGAGTAGTTCTCAAATAATGTACTATTTAAATGACAAAATAAGAATAACTTCAATAATATGTTATTGTTAATTTAATTACTGGATCCTTTAATTTTTGTCAAAAAACAATATAGAAAATAATTGATAATGCTCTACAAAAATTGTGAAATCCCTTTATATGAATACTTACCTACTTTTTGATGGGTTGCTTCAAAAAACTATTTTCATTATTTCTTTCATCTATTATTTGATTTTGTTCAAACTTTCTTCTAGAGTTTGGGGTTTCAAAATAATAAAAAATAATGATATTGATGATGATGGTGAGTTTTGGTAGGGTGGATTGAAATTTTGGAGGAGAATGAAGACGGAAATAAAAAGAAGTAGAAGAAATAACTTTGGTCTCTTAGGAAAGAAGATACAGAGATTTAAATAGGAATAACTGATTAGGGTGTACCATGAGGGAAAAAAAAATTATTGTAGAGTTTAATATGTGTTATCCTTATTAGTAAATTCAAATTAAGATATATTAGGAATTAAAATTTATAAATTTAAATTGAGTGTATCAAGACATAATTTGACTTCAAATAGAATCCCCCTCTTTGAGAGGGGCTGGTGGACTTCATGAACCATTTTTGAGTTCAATTGGGTGATTTGAACTCTTGATTTTGTGAGACTTGTTGAGGAGATAATTAATGTAAAATATTATTTTAGTTGGATATCGATAGTTACATATTCGAATTATATTTATTTTGTAAAATTGAAGAATACATATGATTTTGAATATAAATTATCTATTTTTTCTAAAAAAAATGCAATTCAATAATCTAAAGTATCAATGTTCGATCAACCCTTTTTTTTTTGCATAGATATGTTATTCTCGGCCAATTTTAAAAATTAAACGATTCAGATCATTCGAAATGGATCTCAAACATCCACATTACAATTGTAAATTAAGTGCAACTCATTGGTTCCCAAAAAAATAAATATATTTTTAGATCCTTTTTTCAAGTTTAACACTAATAAAATCATAAATGAATTCACTAATTTTGTAATGGATATTATTGAGTAGTTACGTAGTACCAAACATTTAAGGAAAATGTTATATAAGTAGGAAATAAGACAATATATATATATATATATACATTATAAATTAGTAAAAAAAAAAATTTTAATACAAGTCACACCACTCCCAACACTTGTACCAAAAAATATTTTTATTAATTTATAATTACTTTTTTAAACCCACAATAATTGTTTCCCAAATATTCACTTACATTCAAAAAGATTTTTATTAATTTATAATTATTTTTCTAACATTACAATGATTGTTTCCCCAATATTCAAATGCGGTTTGCAAGCAAATGCCACACAATTATGAAAATGGAAACATTGAGGTCAAGTTTGATTATCTTAAATAAGTATAAGTATATATATATATATATATATTTTTTTTTTATCATATCATCTCTTTATTTTTTTTGCACATCTTTTTATAAAAAGACAAAAAATACATTTATTTAGGTCATCCCAAATAACCTCTGATAGTAATTTTAAAATGTTAGGTTTACCTTATATTCATATCTTAATATGAAAGAATTTGAAAAGTTTATAAAATTTATTAAATATTTCATTTTAATGATTTGAACTATTAATTTTTTAAGACTTGTTGAGTAAAATATTCATATAAAAAATAAGATAATCGGATATCAATAGCTATATGTTTTAATCAAATTTGTATTACAAAAATTTGATGGTTATTTTTGAAATTATATTTTTCATTCGTTTTCTGAAACAAATATGATTTAAACATATAGGTAACGATATTCAATCATCTTAATTTTTTTTATAAATATTGTACTCAACGAATCTAAAAAAATAAACTGTTCAGATCACCGAAATCAATTTCAAAATGAGCCTACTTAATTCAAATGATCTCTCAAGTAGAAATGACAATTTAAAAGATGCCAAACCCAATTAAAAAACGTCAAATCAAAGAACTTATATAATTTAAAGGAGAAGTTATTTAACAGTCCCGAGTTACGGCCACGGTGCCCCAAGTATATTGTGATTGCCATGAAGGGTGACACTCATAATTTTATATCAAAAAATTGAAAAATAAAAATAATATAGTAATTTGTGATTGGTAAAGAATAAAATAATTTTGTCAATTCAAATATAAAAAGGGCTGTTTCAAAAACATGTAATTAACATTAATGTTATCATTATACTTTTTATGGGAAATTTATTAAGAAAGAGTACTTATATCTCAATTAATTCATAATATATTTTTATATTTTAATAAATCTTATTATTTAAACATTTGATCTACCAAATCTTAATTAGCATACTTGTATTTTATAGATAATTTTATCCTTAAAAATATTTTTTGAACCCTTACCAATTTAGTAATGTGAACAGTTATAATTGATAGTGTGAATGTTTACATTAACGTTTGAATATTTACATTGACAGAGTGAATGTTTACATCACGGAACATTCACAATATTTACACTGTCAATGTGAACATTAAGACGTATATCACCCTATTATTATTAGGGTTTTTTTTTGGTAATTATGTTATTTATAGGACTTATTACAATATAAGAAAATAATTTAGAATATAAGAAAATAATTTATAGGACTTATTAGAATATAAGTTGAACATAATTAGGTGAAGAGGGATTGATGAATAAATGCCCAATTTTTTATTTGCCAGTAGGAGAGAATAAAAGTGAAATAAATTTATTTATACGCATTCATTTTTTAGGAACTACTATTCTTACTCCACTTTACTCCAAATACACTCTCTTCATTATCTTTATTATATTTAGTTACTATTCTCATTCCATTTTGTCCAAATACACCCCCCTCCAGATATAATAAGTACAAAGAAGAGAGTGTATTTGAAGTAAAGGGGAATAAGAATAACGGCTCTATGAGTAATAATAATTTAAATACTTGTTTTTTTTATATAAAAAAAATTTGCAAATAAGTGGTATTTCTAGAAAATATTTACAAATTCATAAAAAATTATAATTTAAATTATTAAAATTGATAAACTGTTTTACTTATTTGTAACACTACAACAAAATACACTTTTGGCGATCAAATTTGGCAATTAAAAAAAATTTAGTCGCCAAAACTTGTGGAATTGGCGACCAAAATTTTTTTTAGTCGGCAAAAGTACAATATTTAGCTACTAATTTTTTTTAGCAGGGAAATATTAATTATTGGCGACTAAAAAATTTAGTCGTTAAAAATGCCTCAACTGGCCACCAAAAAATGTTTTCGTCACTATATAGATAGTTTTAGCTACTAAAATTTGTGCCCATCATTTCCCGTAATGAGTTCTTGCAGGTCTTACTGGTACATGTTTAGGGATGTTGTGGGTTGAGTGACTGTGACATCTATATGCCAGGCTCCTGATATGTGAGTGTTTGTGAGGTTATTTATACTAACTATTTTTTCTGCCCCTATTATGCGGTGGTTGAATAGATGTAATCTTATGTTTGAGCTGGTGCATTTCCTGCTTGGGTTTACTGAAGCTGGGCAGTGGTTGGTTCTAGTCTACTTGCTGTTGGCAACTGACTAGTGTTACTAGTTATGGCTGGTATTGCTGGTTGCTGTTGCTGCTATTTGGCTGCTTACTTTGTTAGGAAACAATACTGCTATAGTTGGAATGTTGGTTGCTGCTGCTGCAGCTGGTGCAACTGATATTGTTGGTTATTGCTGCTGTTGTGGACTACCTGCTCTGTTGGAAACTGTTTGGTTGTTTTATTTCTTTTTCTGGCTAGATTTGTCTCGTACAATTTGTTCGTTGCTGAAGCTATTTTGGATGATTCTTCTATTTTGGTTGTTTGTTTTGTTTTGTTTGCTGTATGTCTTTAGCTTTCTTAGCTTCCCTTTATGGGTTTTCCTTGTTGTGGCCCCTTTTTGGATAGTTGGAAGTGAAATAGATGCAAATTGTGGAATGATTGATAATATATGTATTGCTTTATTTATACATAGTACAAGTTGTACGGAATACATACAGGTTGTAGACAAAATAATTTAAAAAAAATAAAATTATGTTTTTGGCGACTAAACAATTGGTAGCCAAAAAAGAAATAAATATTTTTAACAACTAAATAGTTAGTAGCCAAAAATAAAAATAAAATGAATTTTTTTTTTTGGCAACTAAATATTTGGTAGCCATAAAAAAAAAAACCAGAGTTTAGGCGACTAAGACTTTAGTAGCTAAAAACAAAATAAAATGAAAAAAAAAATTGGCGATTGAAATATTTAGTAGCTAAAAAAATAAGTTGAATAACAAAAACTTTTTAGCGACTAAAGTTTGTCGTCCCAAATAATTTTAGTTTTTGGCGAAAAAAATTTTTAGTTGTTGAAAATGCGATATTAATTTTTTTGAAAGGTTTTGGAGACTAAAAAATTAGTCGGCAATTGATGACTTTCGGCGACTAAATTCTTTTTAGTCGTCAAAACCTTTCCCAACAATTGTTCAACGACTAATCTAGTGACCAAAAATTTTAGTAGATAAAAAAATTCGACTAAAAATTGACTTTTGACAACTAAAAATTTAGTAACCAAAAGTGACATTTGTTGTAGTGTAAATTTTTTTGAAAACTTGTACTGATGTGCAATTTCTCTTTTTCTTTTTCCTTAATTTCTCCATCCAAGAAGAATATATAAATATGGATAAAAATTTTATTTAAAATATAATTTATTTTTTGTGATTCTGAAAATTACATTCATTCCTTTGAAGTTTTTAATTTTATAACAAACAATCTCTTTTATTAATAAATCATTAAGTCAATTAACAGTTATTAATAATATCATAAATTTATTTCAATTAACATTTCAAATAATTATATTATTATATAGGAAAGTAATTAAGTATTTTATTTTTTTAATTAATTTTATTAAATAAAGCATTCTAACAATGGAGGTATTTATAATTTTTTAAATCACAAAAAATAATTTATATTTTAAATAAGTATTAAAAATTGTATTTATAATTTATTCTAGAAATAAAGTTTCATTTCCTCTTTTATTTCACCGATTCAAAATTCAAACATGCTGCTTATGCATGAAGCGACCAAAGCAGTTGCTGTAGGCCTGCGACTTTGAAAGCCCTCAAGCTTCAAATCTTTTTGTTGGGAACCCAAAATACAAAGGATGTGTTTGGGAAGAGGTTTTTTTTATTATTTATTTGTGGGATTAAAATAATATTTAAAAATAAAATAGATTAAAATAGTTAATAAGAAAAATATTATATCAAATTCATAATTATTTTATTTTTTCTCTCATAGATATCACATCAAACTATAAAAAAAAAAAAAAAAATTCAAACTCTCTTTTTAAATATAATTATTTTAGTCAAGCTAAAACATTCAACTACTAAAATAGCATATTAAAATATACAAATTCCCAAACGTTGCCAAATCTTTTTTTAAAGGATGAATTGCACTAATGGTCCCTATAGTTTGGGGCTTATGTCACATTGGTTCCTGACTTTTCAATTGTGATACATACCCTAAATTTTGATTCTTGTTTCAAATAAAAATAATTGAAGATACCATTACTCAATTTCAAGGGTAAAATTGTCAATTTGATTAAATATAAACGATTTGACAAAAATAAATGTTAAAAAAATATTTTTTAATTTTTAAAAATTATTTCTATCTACCAAAGAAAAAATTATGTAAAAATGATAAATCTTTTCACATTTATTTATTTATTTATTTATACTAAATTAATTTTTATTATTTATTTGGATAATGATCATACAATGAGAGGTTGTTAGACTTTTAATGTGCAATCGATATATAGTATTTAATATATGAAATATTTATAGTTTTGAATTTTTTGATTTAATGGATTGGTTTAATAATGATTTCAAAATTGTCGCCATATTTGATTTTTAGAAAAATAAAAAGTAATTTAATAAAAATAAAAACAAGCATGCATTACATGATCATTATCCAAATACATAATAAAAATTAATTTGGTAATAAATAAATAAATAAATGTGTAAAAGATTTATCAATTTTACATAGTTTTATTTTTGGTGAGTATAAATAATTTTAAAAATTCAAAAATATCTACTTGACATATATTTTTATCAAATTAGTTTATATTTTATAAAATTAGTGATTTTGCCCTTGAAATTGATTGATGGTATCTTCAATTGTCCTTATTAAGAACAAGATTAGAAATTCAAGGTTAAATATATTACAATTGAAAAGTCAGAGACCAAAATAACACGAGCTCTAAACTATAGGGACTGTTAGCATAATTCGCCCAGAAATAATTTGGTAAAATAATAAATGTCTAAAAGATTTATCAATTTTACATAAATTTATCTTTAGTGGGTAGAATAATTTTTAAAAATTTTAAAATATTTTTTGGACATTTATTTTGTCAAATTAATTTATATTTTATCAAATTGACTATTTTGCTCTTGAAAAATTCAATGGTATTTTTAATTGTCCTTATTTGGAACAAAATTCAAAATTCATGGTCAAATATATTACAATTGAAAAGTCAAGCACCAAAATGATACGAACCTCAAACTATAGGGACCGTTAGTGTAATTCCCCTTTTTTAAAAGATTATTATTATCTTGACATCCCAAAAAAAATAAAATTCTCAATTGTTAAATGTCTTGAATCATGAATACTAAAAGCACATTTTTTATCTAAAGGATCATAATAAATCTAATTGTCAAAGAATCCATAAACAAGAAAAAATTGTTTCAAACTCCAATCATAAATGCTAAAATAAATTCTTCCAATTCTTTAATGGTCAAGAAAAAATTTGTTTAAACAAAGACCCAACTAAAAAAAATATTCATTGATTAAAGGCCCGTTACTAAAAGTTGTAAATAAACTTTCAATTTTTTTCCACTAATAGAAAATAAATTTTACATGCAAAAAATAAAATACAAAATATTAATAAATATTGTTTAAATATAAAATGCCTCTTATTAAAATTTTTTACTTTAAAAAACCTTATTAAAAGTTGGACTGGACTGATCCAAAACATTACGTTAAAAAATCTCCAGAATTTTCTAACCAAATTTCTACCCAAACTTATCGCAATAATTTTCATTTTTTAGGAATAATTTACATTCAATTTAGATTTGGAATTGTTCAAATTAGAAAAGCAGCTCCACCTTCGTTTGGAAAGTAAGTTGACTTTTTAATTTTTTTAATTATTTTAGTTTGGAGTTAAAAAGTCTCGCTTAGAATAAGTTTTTTAGTTTTTTAAACTTTTGTGAGAAAAAGAATATAATGATTATGAATTAAATGTGATATTTTATTTTATTATATTAAAAACAATTAGTTAGTCCCATGTTGTCCCCCCATCTCCAACATAAATCGTGGGCCCTCGTGTCTCTTCACCAATCAAAACCTTATGGAACACCACGTGTCCATACTCCGGGAGTACTGAATAATCACCCAATTTTTTTACCTTCAAAAGTTAGTTTTTTTAAGTTAAAAGAAGTCAGTTTTTTAAAAGAAGTCATTTCATGATTATTTTCATAATATTTTTTTTCATAATCCGAGACTTTAAAATGTGGTGTTTTAAAAAATTAATAAAAAATTAATTTTTAATTTTTTACTCAAAAAAATTAATTTTTTAAATAGTGATTTGAATAAAAAAATTAATTTTTTTAACTAAAAAACCCAAAAACTAACTTTTTGTTAACTTGTCAAAGCAAGCTAATGTCCTTAAGAATCAAAATTTTAAAGTGTAACAAATAAGAAGCCACCCAAAAACATACAATTGCGATGATAACATCTATGTTGAAATTATTACGAAAACGACTTAAACATTGTACTATTTCAACGTGGACCAATGATTTTATGCCTAATAGCACATCCTTTGATCACTCTACTCTAAATCGTAATTATTATATATAATGATGATTCACTACGCGTAGCTTGCTGTATTATTAATTTCGTATGAATAGATAATTACTCTTCCATGCATTTTTTTATACATGTGTACTTTCATCATTTTATGTGCTGGCATAGCTTAATATTTATAATGGTATGTTCACACTACAAGAAAAGCGGGTTTATGAGACGGAATTTTTGCAACGGTATATTTGTCGTCTTAAAAAATGATTTTTTACGACGGCACAATTTGTCTAAAAAATGTGACTTTTGGAGACGACACAACTTGCCGTCGCAAAAAATAGAGTATTTGCGATGGTAGAAATTGCTGTCACAAAAGAAAAGAATATTTGCGATGCCAGATATTGTTGTCGCAAAAGAAAATAGAGTTTTTGCGACGGTACCAGTTGCAGTCGCAAAAAAAAAAAATTGCGATTTTAATACGTACCGTTGCAAAAAATTTAAAAAAAAAATTAAAAAAAAAAAAAATATATATATATATATATTGTGGCTTTAAGACGGCTTCATATATATATAGTCATAAAATGGTTTAAATAAATGCAACAGTATTTTTTTGTTACAAAAACAAAAAAAAAAAACAAAAACAACTTCGTCTTACTCTTTTGAACATTTCTCTTTTCTCCCATTTTTTCATCTTTCTATCTCTCTGTCTCTATCTCTGTCCTTGTCTCTCTTCTCTCTCTCTCTCTCACTCATCACTCTTCTTGTCTGTCTGTCTCTTTCTTTCTCTCTATGTCTCTGTCTCTGTTTCTCTTCTCTTTCTCTCTCTCACTCGTTACTCTTTTCTGTCTGTTTATTTGTCTGTCTGTCTCTCTTTTTCTCTATGTGTCTCTCGTCCATCTTTTTTCTTTTTATCTCTCTTATCCCTTTCCTCTCTTTATCTCTCTCGTTCATCTCTCTCTGTCTCTCTCTGTTTATCTCTTTTCATTTTCTCTCTCTCTTTCTCTCTCTGTCTATATCTTTTCATCTATTTTTTCATCTTCATCTCTATCTTCTCTTTCTCTCTCTTGCTCATCACTCTTCTCTCTCTGTCTATCTATCTATTTGTCTCTCTCTCTGTGTCTCTCACTTATCTATCTCTTTTCTCTCTATATCTCTTTCGTTCATCTCTCTTCTCTTTATCTCTCTTGCCCATCTCTCCTCTCTCTGCTCTCATCTTTCTCAGTCTCTCTCGCTCATCTCTCTTCTCTCTATCTTTCTCTCTGTCTCTTTATCTTTCTCTCTATCTCTCTCGTTCATCTCTCTTCTCTTTATATATCTCTCGCTCATATCTCTATCTCTCTCTGTCTCTCTCGTCCATCTCTCTTCTCTCTCTGTCTCTTTTCTGTCTCTCACTCTCTATCTCTTTCTCTTTCTCTTTCTCTCTCTCTCTCTCTCTCTCTCTCCCACTATGTTTGCATTGCTCACTCTCTCCCTTCCGTCTTCTTTATTTACTGAGCTCCCTCTCGATTTATCGATCTACTACAAGAAAATGCACTTTTAGCGACCACTTTGTCTCTCTCTCGCTCATCACTCTGTCTGTCTGTCTGTCTCTCTCTCTCTCCTCTATCTGTCTCGCACTCATGTCTCTCTCTCACCACCCATCTTCTCTACCACCTTCACCACTATTGCAAAACGTCATTCCACCACCACCACTACTTCCACTATCGCCACTTCACCTCTATGACTACCATGACTACTACCATTGCTACCACTACCACTACCACTACCACTACCACTACCACCACTGCTACCACTACCACTACTACTACTACTACTACTACTACTACTACTACTACTACTACTACTACTACTACTACTACCTCTCATCCACTGCCGCCACTCCATCTCCCATACCACTACCACAACTTCATCACTAATCTCTTTCGCCACCGCCACCACCACCACCTCTTATCCACCACCTTCACCACTACTGCCGCTCCCTCTCTTGTTCTACAAAAAATTTGTTTGGTTATGGTTTTTTAATAGAGTGTTGAATTGAGTTTTGAAAGTTTGATGTGACATGTGAAATAAGAAAATTTGTTTGGTGATAAGTTTTCAAAATAGTTTTCAAAACTTAATTCAACCTATAATTGATAATCAAACACACAACTCATAACTTGATATCCGTATTTTTGATCAACAGTCATAACCAAACTATTTTTAAAATATTCAAATAAAAAAATGTTTTTTTTTTCAATTAATTGTTTTTAAGTAATTTTTTTTGAATATTTTTTTTTCAAATCATTTTTTTTTCAAACAATTTCTATGTCAATTATTTTCTATCAATTAATTTTTTTGTCAATTTATTTTTTAGGCTTGTATAAACATTAAAAATATTTTGAAAATTAAAATATTTAAAATATTTTAAAAATTAAATATTGAGAATATTAAAAATATTCCGAAATTCAAAATATTAAAAATATTCTGAAAATTTAAACCAAACAAAACCTTAATTTCCCCCCTTTTTCCCCCGTTTTTCCCCCATTTTTTTTCATTTCCGTTCAGGTGTGTAGAGCCCTAAGTTTCGAAGCCCTAAGTTTCGAAACAACATTGTCTCTATCTCTCTCACGGAGGCGAGCGACGAGCGGCAATCGGCGATCTCACTACTTTTCTGTTCTTGGGTTTGATCTTTAATCCTTATATAAATTCCTTTAATCCTTTTTCACTGTTCTGTAGCTGATCTCACTACTTCACTGTTCTTGGGTTTGATCTAATATCTGGTGTTGTTAAATTAAAGGTTATTAACTCCTCCTGACACCCCTCTCTTCTCTTATTTGGATGATGAGAAGCCTCCGGTTACACTTGCTCAGAGGGGAAGACCTCAAAGTCAACCCATCACAATCTCAAGATCATCCACGGTAGGTCATTGTTCATGTCAATGGGATAAATATTCATCGTTTATTTACTTGTATCTGTCAATGGTGTCTACTGCTCATGTTTTTCTTTAACATTTTTTATACCATAATGCATCTAATGTGTATCTTATTGTAGATGGGAAAGAATCGCAAAAGTAGTAGAGGTAGTCCGAGCCCAAATCGCTTAAGCCCTTCTCCACGGTCTGGGAATAGTACTTTCCATACGAGGGGAAGCCCATCTTCAGCAGCTCATTCTAGTCCAACTCCTAGTGTTTGCTATGCTACCCCATCACAGAGACCATCTCCCCCACCAAATAAACCATCAACACCTGCTCCAAGGTCTTCGACACTGACTCCTCGGAGGATAAGTACGGGGTCTGGTGGTATTGTATCTTCATCTGGGATAACGGGTATCTCCCCTGTAAATAAAAGTCGAGGAAACTCCGCGTCACCAAAAATAAGGGCATGGCAAACAAATATTCTCAGTTTTTCCTTGGATGCACCTCATAATCTACGTACTTCATTGGCTGATCGACCAGCATCATATGTGAGGGGTTTCTCACTTGCATCCCGAAATGGTAGGGATTCGTCTTCCAGAGGCAGACAGTCAATGTCTCCAACTGTTTCTAGAAGTGTCAGTTCATCACATAGTCATGATCGGGACCGATTTAGCTCTAAGAGTAAAGGTTTTGTTGCATCATCTGGTGATGATGATGTAGACTCCCTACAATCTGTTCCTTTGAGTAGCTCAGACTGCTCAGCTTCAAGGAGAGTTGGTGCATTTCCAACTAGCAGAGCTCCAGCCTTTTCCAAGAAGCCCACTCGAACAGGGCTATCAAGTCTGCTCCAAAAAGATCTTTTGACTCGGCACTTCGACAAATGGTACTTCTTTATCTGTTTCTTTTGGACTGTGATGTTGTTTTCTTTGTGATTAGGTTTATGCATGTGAGCATCAACAGATCTGCAAACGATTAGAAAACCTCATTCAATACGTCTGAATTTCATATAAAAAGTTTTATACATGCTCAATGATCTGAATGTTAGAGAAAATTTAGACATCAAAATAAAATAAAAAATAGGGGGAGAAAATTTAGGAAACATTTTGATGTTGAATATATTTTAATGGTTCAATTAGTATTTTTTATAGCATTCCAAGGTAGAATTCATTGAATGGAGTTGTTAGAGAAGGGAACCTTCTCGCTGATAAGGTTAAATAATATTCAGTTTGGTAGTTCTAAGGTAAGCTAAAGGTGATTGCGTACCAAGTGATATTGTAGTATGCATTTAACCTAATTGCCCATTTTAGTTAATGAATTTGTACTTAAAAATGCCATAAAAATTGCAATGTTGTACTTCAAAATTAAGGCACATCCTATGTTACGTGGACTCGTGTATGAGTATCAAGTGTGCGTGCGTGTCCAGGCATTAAATCTCCCTAAGCTCTTAATGTTAGTATATAGGGATATGTATTCAAAAGTTGGATATAAGTTCATGGACATGTCTTGAGCATTTTGTGATTGTATAATATTTTGAGATAAGATGTAACTATGTAGGGATGTACTTGATATTAAATAGGATTTAGGAAAAATCAAAATTTTATATCTCATCCAGATGAGAGGTTTATTTACTATCAAATGTGAGGTTTTTCAATTTATAAATTTAGTCAGAACTTCCAACAGTTTCAAATTTGACCCTCTAAACTGATAATGATATAACAATATTATTATCATCTTGGAACCGCATCACATCTCAGTGCCGACAGCACTGGTTCTTTCTTTGAACTGGGGGAGTACTGCTTCACTGTATATTTATATGTTCTTCATGTTGATCATGTTGAATTTTTTTGTAAGCTTCTCTTAAAACCTTACAGACTAGTAGATTTTCAAATCATATCTCATGTTTAAAGTTAATATAGTACAATGGTAGTAACGTTGTATCCCAAGTTCAAATGGGTTTTCGTGGTGCTAATATGTTCCATGGAAATTAAAGCTATCCAATTTGTTGAAATATGATTTCAGTGGAATTTAATTTGAAATTCCAAACTTTGTTGAGTTGAGCTGAATTAGGCTTGTGGGATTTTTAATTGAGTTCATCACGGCATGGATGGTAATTGATAAGATTCTCTCTGCATCAGATGGCTCTGCAGCAAGCTCAAGACCTCAAGATAGTTAGTTCAGTAGTTAGTTTGTTTAGTTAGTTCAGTAGTTAGTTTGTTGAACCCAGGTTAGTTAGTAATTAGAGTTTGTTAACTCAAAGTTAGTTAGAGTTTGTTATAGTTTGTTAGAAGTTTGTTACATGATATCTGTATAAATATACAATGTATCTGATCATAAAGATAATATAAAAGATTCAATTGTTCTTCAGTAATCAAATGTAGTTATTTTGTATTCCAGGAAGCATGTTTAATTGGGTTAGTTTTGTAGGATTTAATTTCATGTACTAGTGTTCAATTAGTTTGAATTGTTGTGATATCATTGCCATATTAACGTAGTGACTTTTATTTTAGACATTTGATGTTTGTCACCCGTTGCGGGATTGGTGTTTAGGTGTATGATTTTGTGACTTGGAGAATTGTTGGTGTGTCTTGATAATTTAGACTAAATTTTTTGTTTTAAATTTTGTCAAGGGATGCATATTTTAGTTTTAAATTTTTTGTTTAATCTAGTTTTAATATAATCCTTATTTTTTAGGGTTTGTAATTGGCTACCGGATGACTTGAAGGAAGAATATCTGCATAGTGTGAAAGTAGTGCAGAAGGCGATGTTGAGAGCTGTAATTTTCCCTTGTCTTTCCATTCTGTTCATTTGAAATCATTTGTGCCATGGCAGACATGAAGATGTGAATAAGATATATGTGTTTATTGCTATACTTTAGTGAGATGATGTTAGTGATGCTCTTTCTTCTGTTAGCTTTATATTATTGCTTAGTTAGTCTTTCTTGTACAATGTATGACAGCAAAAAGAAGAAAATGGAAGATCATTTTCATATTTTTAATTATGGATGAATTTTTATTTACATACTGGACTTTTTATATTATTATGTAATTATCGGTTATTTTTTAGTTATTTTTCATTTAATACCGGTCATTTTCATATTTGCAATAATTTTATTACAATTTTTTTTTTTGAGACGGCACCACACACACTGTCTCAAAAAGAAAAATAGAACCAGGGGTTTTTGCGATGGCAATAATGCTGTCGCAAAAGATAGGGGAATTGGTTGAAAAGGAAGACCTTTAGCGACGGTGTTATTTGCCGTCGCCAATAGCACTTTAGCAACAGCATCAGGTGCTGTCGCAAATAACCCTTTTAGCGACGGCAACACAGTGTCGTCTAAAAAAATCTCATATTTTTACGCATTAATGCCGACGTCATTTTTCCGTCGCAAAAAAAGACGACGACGTTATACCGTCGCTAAACCCTTTTGCAACCCCCTTTGTTGCGACCCCCCACTTGCCGTCGCAAAAAGCCAGTTGCCGTCGCAAAATTTTTTTTGAGACGGCGTTTTGGGTATTTACAACGGCATTTTACCGTCGCAAAAAAGTAATTTTTTGTAGTGTCGCACAAAGGCTTACTAAACCCACTCTGAAGAAAAGCTGTGTCATTAGAGAAATAGTAAGGTTTGTTTGTGTTGATTTTCGACTACAGGATCAAATAGAAAATTTAGTTGGAGAGCACATAATAAAATAAATTAACCTATGGTCAACAAGAAAATGAAAATATTGCGGTGGTTGCGTCCATCCGGGGCACTCCGATGATTAAATCAGTCAATCAATCTCTCAAAATCTTGCACAAGTATTCGATACACAAATTAAAGCATTACAAATAAAAGTATATTTTAGACTCACGAGATGGCTTACTTTTATAATAGTCAGTGTCTAACTTTCCTTAAAAATCTTGCTTCATGACTATCATTTATAAGGATAACATCTATTACAACTCACAATATTCAAATTAGATGAGCTTCTTTAAGAGTTCCATCTCTATTCAAATAGGTAGCTTGATGTTATCTAGAACTGTTATCTTCTATTCGAATATCTCAAATTCATATTATGTCTCGGTGACTTGGTCTATCCACGTGACACTTCAACTAATAATCTCGGTTACATAGACAACTCAAAAAATAATATCCCCACAAGGTTAAAATATAATAATGTTTAAATGTTATTTAAAGGAGGTAGCTTTTATTTATTTATTTACTTTGTGGAAAAATTGATGACATGCTGCGTATAGTCAAATGTCTAACTTGGCATGAAAACCAACAAATGTTTTGTCATTCTCATTTATTGCTGGAGGTAGTATTATTTTATTTGTTTGTTTTATTTTTTTTTTTTTAGAGTAGGTAAGCGATTGATTTTATATATATAAAAAATAGAGATATTAAAGTAAAATTCAAAACGTCTTCGAGAGTCATCACCGCTTCGGCCAAAGGTTTGAATGAACTATTACACTGGCCTAAAAATATTAAGGTCAAGTTTAGAAAGTTTTTAAAAAGTTAAAAAATTATTTATAAAGTTAAAAAATTATTACTATTTATTAAAAGTCAATAATTATAGTTGTACATTTCTCAATACTAATTTTTCTCTACACATTAATTTATATAATTTTTTAATACATATTTTTTTATAAAAAATCAAAAAATTAACCCAAACATTCATATTTTCAATCTCAACTTTTTAATTTAAAAAGACAAAAAATATACTTATTTAGGACACCCCAAATAACTCTTAAACTCCCGCAATATAATGGCCAGGTGAAACTAACATACCCTAAAACACACGCAACTAAAAAACAACCAAAATAAGAGAGGGAGACAAGAACCAACCATCATCACTCAACAAATTTGCATCCACACATTCACAAAAAATCATCTATACTAGCAGCCTATGTTGACGTTTAGCTCCATAAGGTAATGAGTTGCACCTAGAGTAGCTATATGTCACCTCAGAAAAAGACCTCATTTGAAGCGACAATGAACAGACTTGAAATATTAAGCACTGATCGTTACACCTCCTAAAAAGCACCACATCAAATTAAGGCTCCGATTAGGATGCCAACTACAACCCTAGGATATAGAGAAAAAAATGAGATTGAAATAAGGTAACATATGTTAAATCCAAGGACAATGAAGATAAGAGCATAGCACACGAACACAAATCAAGCTAAATGATCTGGGACAAGGTAGAAAAAAAGGAAAATAATATGTATTGTATTGAATAAATTGTCCTATATAATAGAAAGCCTGTATATATGGGCTGAGAAAGAATATCCTACTAAAAATTTAACTATGAAAAAGAGTTATGAAAAAGAGTATCTTATAAGAGACCTAACTATGACAATATCTAATCTATTTAGGCAATCAATACCTAAAATATGTAGGAATATATACCATATATATATTACCATCCCTCTCAAACTTAAGGAGGATAAACATCTTGTATTTGGAGAGAGAAACTAAAACATGAAATAAAACTAAATAAAATAAAAGGCAAATAGACTGCAAAATCCGAATGGGAGCACAAGGGTGCTTGAAATAAATCAGAGGCCAGAACTAAAGCCGGGAGGCAGTTTATGGTCATGTCGGACCATTATAGGAACTGGCTGAAACTAATGCCAGGACAATTTAAGGTCGTGTCGGACCGATATAGAAACTGGCTGGAACTAATGCCAAGACAATTTAAGGTCGTGCCAGGTCGATATAAAAACCGGTTGGAACTAATGTCGAGAGACGGTTTATGGTCGTGTCGGACTATTGTAGGAACTAGCTGTAACTAATGCCAAGACAGTTTAAAGGGGTCATGCCGAACCGATGTACGAGCTAATCAGAATCAATGTTGGGACAGTTTAAAAGGGTCATGTCGGACGATGTAAGAGATAACCGGAATCATTGTCTGAATAGTTTAAAGAGGTCATGCCGGACTAATGTAGAAGCTAACCGGAATCAATGTCGACAGTTTAAAGGGGTCATGCCGGACCGATGTAGAGAACGGATGTTGAACCAGCAAGCGTGGCACACACATAACTTATGACGTGGTACTGAACAATAATGGCAACAAATAACTCAGTGCGCTAGGGGACGACTTGGGTTGTACACCAAAAGAGGCGGCTTGGGTTGTGCACTAGAGGGGGCGGCTTAGATTGTGCGCTAGAGGGGGCAGCTTGGGTGGTGTGCCAAAGAGGGCAGCTTGGATGGTTCGCATGGTGTATAACCATACTTACCATGATATAGGTATAATACCCCCCTTCAAACTCAGATAGATTAGAAGATAGAAACCAGCGGATAGAGGAAAAGATCACCACGAAGCGATACTGAAAGAAAAATATGGCAACAAAATAGGTTGAGGTCCAGCAGGCGGCTAAGGCAAGGCTGCCGCTCACCGATAAGGCGAAGAACACCAAGAACTTAATCTATAGCTTTGATACCATGTTAGAATAGTAGAGAAAGAGAAAAATAATATGTATTGTATTGAATGAATTGTCTTGTACAATAGAAGGCCTGTATATATAGGCTGAAAAAGAGTATCTTACTAGAAATCTAACTATGAGAAAAAGTATCCTATAAGAAATCTAACTATGGCAATACCTAGTATATCTAGGAAATTAATACCTAATATATGTAAGAATATATACCATATATGCATTAACAATGTGATGCAGCAACAGGAAAAGAAAAGGGATAAGAGAGAGAAGAGAAAATAAAAACATGTAAAAGATGGAGGAAGAATGGGCGATAATAAGAGAAAAGTGGAGCAAAAATAATAAAGAGAAAATGGGAAAGAATGAGAATGGGGGAAGTGGAAGGGGAAGAAGGAGGAGGGGGCGCAAATTTAGAGAAAACATGGAAATGTGAGAAAGAATAAGAGATAAGACAACAGAGGAGTGGAGAAAAATCACTAGGGCCAACAGCAAAACCAACTTCATAGTGTAGACGTCCCTAAACGCCCCGGGAGGATGAGTCCCGTTCTGTTCATTTTGGGCTTACTACAAGTTCGGACTCTCAAATTGTCACGGTTCTAAATCTGAACCAAAGAGTCCAAATCCGGCAAATCGTTTTGAGAAAACAGATTTTGAAAGAAATGCCAAACATGGACTGCTTTGCCAGATACAGAGTCGCCACCTAAATGTTTTATTTTGGGAAAATTTAGGAAACCCTGACTCATTGCCTAAGGCCACGTGTCCGTCATCACCAAAGTTGCCTCGACTCGGGAACTTGGGTACGATTGGGCGAAGGTCCGACTTCGTGAGCCACCCGCCCGCCCGATCAAAGGATGGCCTCTACGAACCATGATACTGCTAGTTTTTGAAACCTTAATGCGTTCTTATCCGGTTATTAGCCTAGACTTTACTATGTGATGCGCACAGCATTACAAGTATAGACTGGATCGTCTGAAATTGGAACAAAATATTCATGTTTATTTTTGCAAAAATGGCCGTGAATGGTGCACCGCAAGTAGGCCAAGACGTTGGATTTGCCACCCATCGGGTGGCTTAGAAAAACCATGATTTGCCACTTAGTCTAGTGGGCTTAAAACTCACAAGTCAAAATGCATTTATTCCAAGTTCAAATAAATCCAACCTTCACCCACAGGCTTCAGACAGTTTATGTATTCACATAAGCGAAGTAGCCCATGTAAGCATGCTATCATGGCTAGCATCACACACATGGCAACGATGCAAAGCATAAAGCATGTACCGAGTACTCCAAGCCAAAACAGAAGCTAATTAGAAATCCATGCATGATCCTAATTATACAGAAATGCCTAATGCAACACATGCAAAATGCAACTAAGATAGGCTCGGCTATTCTAAAGATGGCATGTGAAATGCTACAACTAACATGTATTCAACTTGGAATTGAGATACAAATGCAGTTAGTATTATGCGCTGAGCCCGGTACATGCAAGACAGATGAATGAATGCAAGCATGCTATCATACTGTATGCTAATTGAAACATGTCCTAATCTAACCATCATAAGCTGATAAATAAAAGGGAG